CAGTTATTTGATTTACGTTTTTACGGTAGCTCTGAGCGGGACTCGAACCCACTGTCTTTTCAAGCTAATTTTGTTTTATTTTGATGGCACGCTTGTGTACCACGCCACGACGTTGGTCGTTAAGTGGTGTTCATTTTTCTAACTACTCCAGTGTTCCGATGAGTTGAACGGAAAAGCCAAAACGATTGCTGGTTTCTGATTGCTTCAGTTCTGGTGAGTGTGTATCTAGTGTGATTCGAACCCATGTCTTTTGTATTGGGCGCTTTTTTATTTCCCATGTTGGCTACGCCGTAATATGCAACCAGTTCCCCGTTTTATTGTGATTTTGAGTGTTTAATGATGTCTTCCTCACCCGTAACGCCATGACCCAGTTTCAACCACACGGCCATTTTGCAACACAGTTCGTGACCCTCGGCGTCACCCGACTGACTGTGTGAGCGTTCTGTTCAACTGTTAAGCTAGGATTTATTACCGTTATTATCATTATATTGTCACGTGATTTGTTTTACCTTATGTGTAATGTCTTAAGTATCTTTATTGTAATTTGTATATACCAATTCGTATATACCGAGGAAACGACCCCGATTGAAGGTCATGTATTTTATGACGTCACCAATTCGTGTGTAGGTACTGCTTCTAGATCTGTGCCGGAAATTCATACAAATACGGTAAAAATAATAAACAATTATATATATACTGTATTTAGTATAATGAATATATAAAGATCAATTATTCCAACATTTTATGTTCACATTTATCTATGGGGAAGTGATTCTAGCTTCCTTTATCACAACTAGGAGCCCTCTTACTCAAATATAATTAGTGTATAATACAGTGCAATCAAAATTACCACTAGTATAAATATTTCATGATGTTGTATCTGGGTTGAGATTGATGAACAGTCTAAAAACATGCAAATGGATTTTCTATTTTCCCATATTTGAAGTTACCATGGTTTTACAACAATTATCATAACATAAATCTTACTTTTTGGAGCTGGCCCTCTAAACTGTGTTCTTAAAGGAAGTAGCGCCATATTGGCCACCAATTGTGGCGGGCTGAGATATGAAGAATGGTAAGCCTGAAAAACAAAACAATAAACCTGTGTGATTTTTATGTACTTTGCTGAAGATGCAGAACTGAGATTACACCTCCACATTGAGACAACACACTGAAACAAAAACAAATAACTACGTATTGTAGCACTGTAATATATATAAATAATAGCATTTTACCATACATTTTTTTCTAAGGTCTATAGATTTACCAATAATTGTTATTTTATGATCAGGAAATATCTAGTTAAAATTGATGTCCAAGCGAACATGTTTACTTACGGAACGACCGTCGTGGTTTGCGCCCCATGAAGAAGACATTTTCGCGAACTACCCACACTGTGCCGACGAACGCTTTCGACGACTGACAAGGCCACACCCACGAGCTAACGAGGAACTACCTCGAGTAAATACGAAACATTTCCACAAAAGGGCATATGCATTCGGGACATCCGTGTATTTATTTCACCGCCCGTTATGGAAGACCGATTTTGATTTATTTATTATTTACTAGTGAAATCAATCAGAGTTTTCGAAAGCGTTCGTTTCCGGGCGAAACTACGTTACAGCACACGAGGAAACTCTCTATTGAATAAACTTCCTTTTTTTTTTATTTAATAGAAACTTCTGTGTTTACCTCTACGAATCAGTACTCCCGTATGGTGCATGCAATGACGATCTCCCCCGACAGAAAAAAGGTCAAGAAATGTGAAACCTACCGGCATTTTGATTAATGCTTTTTCAGTTCTCCTACCAAGTCAACAAACAGGAAGTCAACGAATTGCTAGAAGGCTAGGTCACATCACGTGACGGACGAACCTCCTAAGCCGTCCAGTTATAAATGCAAAACAGTAGTAAACTCAATATTAAAATCGTAGAGATTACCACACTGATCTTAATATAATTGTATGTATGTATACTATATATATTTATATATATGTATTATTTCCAATAATAATTTATTTTCGTTGTTCCGATTATTTTAAATTGTCGTTCAGAATATAAATTTTGAGTTGCTTAAAGGGCCTCGACCTATTCAAAATGTCTGCGCCCTATAAAGTGAACTCATCGTCGAGGTGTTTGTTGAATTTCCTATCACATTCCCCCAAATGAGAGAGGAATGACCGTGAAATTCCGGTAAGGATGGCGATTGTTTATGGCATAAAGCACTCGGAAAGAGTTTCTTAAGCTCTCTCTCTCTCCATGATGTATCGTAAACTTGCTATGTTACCAGAACGTAACGGTAACCGGAAG